TTTTATATATTACACCTTGAAAGCAATCGATTCCCTGATTTATGGATTTTATTTTCTCAAAATATAGAAGATGTCTGATGCTAGATTATGTGTGTTTAGGTCTCTTTCCCTGCCAGACATAGCATCTCCCCACCAGCCTCCATAGGGGTCATACACTGTTTGATATGCTCAGGAGGGGCTGGGGCTTCCTGGCAGACCTCTTCCTCTCCAGACAGGAAGTTGTTTTAGCTGAAAGCACTCAGAAAGTACTACTGACAGTCTGCAAGGAAAAGCATGACTCAAAAACCCACAACAATCAAACTGGGGGACTGCATTGGGGACTGGGGATGCAGCAAGAATGACACAAATACTTTAAGTGCGAGAAGAATTGCCACATGACATGTATCAACTCTGGATTTGGGGCAGTAATAAAAATACAGATGATTATGTCTTTAATAAATGGCTGACATCACTTGCAATTCAGGGGAGAGAAAAGATATGGAGAAGAACGAGATAAACCGTTTGTTTTCAGGATGTTAAAAGGGTAATAAATTTTCCCATTTACAATTATTTCAATCTGTGGCAAAGTAATTGCTGAGGGAGACATCAGCCTCTTTCAGCCAGTTAACTGGAAAATAACACATTTTTCTAGTGAGTGGCAAAATACTTAGCAAATAATCAAAAGCATTATTTTTTAAAACCAAACTCATCATATGGTGGGCGCTGCGCTGTGGTGATTCAGTGTACGATGGGTTTGATCCCTGTTGCGCTGCTCTCACTCGCCCACCTTTCCTGTCGTTCTCTGCTCTCTGTTATCTAATGACCCACAAATATCATAATGAATAACACAAACTTTACATCTGACCACTCAGGTGAAGTGATTTCCTTCTTACCTTTTTTTAAACTAAATCTCATGCCTACCAAAACAAAGTTTTACTAAATCTCTTGCCAAATGAGGAAACCCTTTCAAAATGAATTGAAACATGATGTAACACAGTCAGGCCAAAATGAAACAAAGAGCTCCTAATTTGCATACATGGAAAGACATAAGAGGCTATTATTTGGCCAGAGAAAAGACAATGCCTTGAGGTAACAATAAAATGAAGCAATTCAATTATGTCTGGAGGAATATTTATAACTATAAGAACTATGCAGAGTTGAGGAGAAAGGCCCCAGCTAGGGATGCACAACAGAGAAATAAATTATGTGTATGGTTATATAAAATTACATAATGAGACAATACGGATCTATGTTTCATAGTCAGATGAAGTGATTCAATGCAAATAAATTACAATATGTGACTGAAAAAATGGGCCTGCTTAGTGTTTAACAGAAAATCACTCCATCCACACACCGTATTAAATATCAGTGACATTGTGAAATGGGTCGCCTGATGAACCTACTGACAAATATCACCTGGATCTTCAGCTCCCCTGGGGTTTATGAAGCTTACTGTTTAATTGTCAGGCCAACAAGTTTACTGTTGTACTTCCACTGCTGTATTATCGCCGTTTTCAGTGGAAAAGCACTAAAAAGCCACTGAACACCACCTGCTCAGTGCTAACTTATCCCCAGTTTGTGCCTCTCATATGTTTAGTTAGCACACACTGGGGTAACTTACTCATCAGTGTTTCTTAATTAAGTTGTAAAACCAATAAGGTCGTTTAAAAACTCTTAACTTACCATTGTTCCGAAGCTCTTTGCACAATCCCAAAGACTTGTCTTGACCAATATTCCGTCTGCTGAATGATGACACGTTTTTAACCCGTTTCCTAAGTTGTGCCTCTAGTTTCCTCATCAAAACAAAGATGGACGCCAGCTAGCTAAGGTTACCTGGGTATGAAACTTGGCGAAACGGATGAAATCTTTTTTTAATCATACGGAATGTAACGTTATTTTCATCCAGTTCGTTATTTTTACAGTCTGTGGGTTTGGGGAGTCTTTAGTTAACTTTAAAACACCGTCTGAACAGCGTACCGCCTTCCGGGTCTTTCAAATATCACCGGTTAATTAGCTGTAACGTTACGTGTTACCCGGATGTAGCAAGTTGGTTAGCTAGGCACCAACGGAAATGAGACGTTATTAGCGGCTAACGTTAGCTAGCTCGTGAATATACTGGAGTATTTAGCAGCGGCAGAGCCACATAGTTCCCTCAGGAACTGCTACAAAAACAGAGCTAAGAGAGTGTGACTTACATTCACCAGACACCACGACCCTAAATAAATTAAAACGTTGCTCTGTAACTGCTGGATGTGCAGATAAGCGGCTGTTTCCTAACAAGTTCGCCGTATCTACTTAACAGGTGTCAGCGTTGTGTTTACAGCTTGTTTCTGCTATCCCCCTGGGGCCAAAATCACCAGTTACACCAAATTCTGTGACCTGAGTAGAAATTTCACTTTCAGGGTATTTTTGCGATAATTCCTGACAATATGACAAATTATTGAAAAAAAAAAAGTTAACTTAAGTAAATAGAATTGCAACAAAATAAGTGATATGGTTTTACAGTTTGCCTTCAAATATTCAGTAAAAAATAAACAAAAATTATCTCTCATTTCTTTAGTTTATAAACAACAGTAACTCAGAGTGAGATTCAGATTCTGTGGATACAGTGGATAGATAGATAGATAGATAAATAGATAGATAGATAGATAGATAGATAGATAGATAGATAGATAGATAGATTATTTTTGTTCCAGTGCATTGTTCTGCTGGGAAGCCTTTGGTTCTGACATTCATGTGGATACCACCTGACATGTTCCAGCCACTCAAACACTGTTGCAGACCAAGTACCCCCCCTCATGGCACCAGTACTCCCCAATGGCAGTGGCCCCCAAGCAGAAAAAGCAGCATGCCACACTACAAAAACGATTTAGATATGGCCCGTGGAGCGTGACAAAAAGCTCAAGGTGTTGACCTGGCTTCTAAATTTCCCAGATCCCAATCTGCTCAAGGTGGGGCCTCCTTGGATCGGACTTGGCTCTGACCTGTCGAGGCATGGACACAGGATCTCAGGGAGTGTCCTGCGTGCGTTAGCGGCAGATTCATTTAGTCCAGTGGGTTGTGAGGTAGGTTAATGGCACGTGCCACAGATGCTCATTCAGATTGGGGTCTGGGGAATTTGGAGGCCAGGTTGACCCTTTGAGGTTTTTGTCACATTCCTTGGGCCATTCATGAGTGGTGGTTGCAGTGTAGCATGGTGCATTATCCTGCTGGAGGGCCACTGCCATTGGGGAGTACTGTTGCCATGGGGGGGTACTTGGTCTGCAACAGTGTTTGAGTGGCTGGAACATGTCAGGTGGTATCCACATGAAAGCCAGAACCAAAGGTTTCTCAGCAGAACAATGCACTGGAACAAAATAATCAAAGTTATTCACTTCACCTGTCAGTGGTTTTTATGTTTTGGCTGATCGGTGTATATTTGTACATTGTAGAATAATGCACATATTTTTTATGTATTTTTACACTCTTTGTTTCATCCTTTTTATTTCTTCTCTCTTATAATTCTCTATACTATACATCAGAGTGACAGTAAAGTACCACAATTTCCCCCCAGGGATCGATAAAATATTTCTGATTCTGATTACCTTTACACTAAGGTTTGCTCTATCGGAGCTTACGAAGTGGGGGAACCCTTTTCTCTTTCTCTTTTAATTGTTTGCATGTGTCACCTGTCCTTCAACTAGACAGAAGATTGCATATGCACCTTTTCTTTTGAAATATAGTGAATAAGTGACTGTACTGTAAGGCAGAAAGTGGAGTATTAAAAAGGCACACACACACACACACACACACACACACACACACACACACATTGTTTCTTAGACTAACAACTTAGCAAACAGATGAGCTGCAGCTACTCTGCCGACAGTTGGTCCATTGGGGGCGAGGAGCAGCCAATCTAATCCTTGACTTGGATGACACGGTTCATGTAAAATCAAGACCCTGGTGAATTCACTGCAGCGCAGAGCCCAACACTGAAAGCCATCCTCTCTCCGGTGCACACACACTCATGCACACACACACTCACAGAGCAGTGGAGAGAGGAGGAAGGGGGTGGCGGTCTTGTATCATCCTACACAATACTGATGCTGACAGCAGGAGTCTAATCAGAGATCAGCTGGGACTGAACACCTGTCATCTGTCAGAGAGCGGACTGATCGCTGTCCAGGGTGCTGAAACACACACACACCTCTCTCTTCCTGTCTCCTTTTCTCTCTCTGATGTCGATGAATAAATCCCCTGAACTCCCTCCAAATGTCCCTCCAATCCTTCGGTGATCCCTCTTTCCTCTGAACAGGAAGGTGTTAGGATAATGACCCCTCAGGAGCTATAAAACACCAAAGAACTATAGGATTGGCACTTACCCTGAACATATGATAAAGAAGACCTCCACCTCTGGCACCTCCTCAGATAATCAATGCCACCAGCTCAATAAATTGTAACCTACTGGCCTCTTATTGCTTCATGAGTAAAATGACCCATCAAGGGAAATCAGTGATAAGGAATCACTGCAGTGTCACTATAGTTGCAGGGATGTACACAGTGCTTTTTCTTTTTGAGGTTATGATGAATAATTCATACTAATTATTCATATTCAAGCTAAGAGAAGCCCATGTCCTGACAGCTGGAAAAGACTGGATAACTGGTTAACAAAATGGTTTGTTTCTGCACAGATATGAGAAGGCACTGGAGCATATGTATCCATGATATGAATATGAGGGAGTGTACCAAACGCTTATATAACAAGTGCAAAACTCCCATTAGAGTAGGGTTGGATTTTTAAATTGTATTGTAGACTCTCTTTCTGCCTTTTATATTAATGATATTAGTCCAGTTTCCATCTTTGGATCAAAGGCGCATGGGAACAGCGCGTCTCCGGTGGGGTTCCCCCAACTTTTTACGCACCCGGGACCGCTGATCATCTCCCATCACGTCGTCTAACGTGAATCAAATCCGGCCACTACACACTGGGTGATTCAGTTTCACAACACACAGGCTGCAACACACACACCTTATCCTACCTCTGAATGTAACTTTGGCGATCCTGTCACCTTTCCCCCGGAGGTGAGCGACCGTCTTCAGGTGAACCACTAGAGCCATCATTGGTCCACACTGGTCAGGCAGGGAGTAAAAATTACTCCGACACAGATCAAACTTGAGCGGCTTTGGTGCAATCTGTGTTCAGTGTTCTTCAGATGAGCCTCTTCTTGCGGCTGGACACAAAGATCGTTTTCCATACGGGCAGCATGTAAAATTATTTGTGGGTTTTTTCATGTAATAGTGAATTAATTATAAGCTCCAGTTAACATTTCCTCTCGCTCCGTGCTCCGTGGCTGTTGGGTCTGTCGCGCATCTCCGAGCTGGCACTTGGTTTTACTCTGCTTGTCGCGCAGGAAGGGCGGGGGGTGTGTTTCAGCCTCAGTGAGGGGATGGTGGATGTTCTAATTGTAAAAAATCAGTCCAGCTCTGGGATTTGAGGGACATGCACTACTTCCTTTTTTTCCAGGGAGGAAAAATATTTTAAAGCCATGATCCTGCTGTATACCTTTAACATATTTATATTCTTTATCTCCTCTGCAGACTGCATGGCCACTGAAGAGACCCTTTTTGTGTGTTTGTTAAGGGGGGCAGGGGATCTTTAGGGGTAGACAACAGATCAGCAGTATATGCAACATACAAGTGGCATACAGCATCTGAAAGCTGGGAACCTGAAGATTGATTTGAGATGCGGCTCAGCACTGTGTGGCAAGCTTTTCTAGTCATGAATCTGTTTTAGGTAGGTGCCTATTCAAAAGTTTAGAGATTTTAAGGGCTTAAGACAGTGGTTCCCAACTGGTGGGTCCTGGTCTCAAAGTGGGTCGTGGGTCCATACTGAATGGACCACAAGTGACTCATAAATGTGCCAAGTTTGTAAAAAACACACTTTATTACTATCATTATTATTAAGTACAGTGAATTTCTGACACAGAGCTTTTATTTTTAGGTGCTGTCTTTGCTTTAAAGTGAGTTACTAACAGCACAGCCAACATTTGTATGTGGGGCCCATACGGGTTGTAAATGGATGGAAAAATGGGCTCTATATGGCATTGTCCACAGGTTCCACATTGGTGCTATGCCCATTGCCCACATGGGTGGGTTTACCCAAGCAGGCCCCAGATAAGATGCCCATTTCAGGCCCATACCCACTTTGTACACAGGTAGCCCTAGCATAACCTGTGTGGGGCTTGATTAAACCCAGCCATGTGGGGATTAAATTGATTCGTAAATGGACAGAAAATTGACCCTACATGGCATTGTCCACATCCACATTGGCCCTATGCCCATTGACCACATTGGTGGGTTTACCCAGGCAGGCCCCAGATAAGATGCCCATTTCGGGCCGATACCCACTTTGTACCCAGGTAGCCCTAGTATAACCTATGTGGGCCTTACTTGATTAAACCCAACCATGTGGGTAACTGGCATGGGGCCATCATGGAACCCATGGACAATCCCATTTCATTCATTCATTTTTTTTAGCCCATTTACACATGGGCTCCACATACAAATGTTGGCAGGGGTACAGCTACTTGAAAAGACCCCGTGGCTGGACCAGATGGGAACCACTGGCTTAGAACATTATGATAGAAGTATATGATGGTCAGTCCCATGGTGTTGATACCATTTGTTATGCAGATTTGGGGCTAAATTTAAGCTTTTTTCGCAGTTGAAAAGTAATTTAAAAAATGGTCAAAAATCCCTCCAAAATGCCACATTAAGACACCAAGACCTTGGGGATGCCATAGAAAAAATCATGCTGTGGTCTGGTGTCAAAAACTTTTGACATTTGGAAATTTCTGTAAGAAGTGCATTTTTCGGCAATAGGATGGCGAACCATTCTGTTTTGGAAACTGTTAATAAACACCCTTGTTGTCACCATAAAGCCATATGCATCTGAATGCCCAAGGTCTCTGGTGTGTGGCTGTAAAGTTTTATGAGGCTGTGATTATACTAAAGGTCACAATAGGTAATTTAATATAGTGATGTCTCAAAATGGTCTCACTACAGTGAAATGGCTTCTATGGGGACTAACATCATCACACATGAATAAAACTGGGCTAATGAAATCCACAGGCTCAGCTCTCACTCTGATTGTACCCAGTTTATGCATTTCTAAGACTGTATGGGGACCTCAGTGTGCAGAAATATTCAAATGAAGCTCTAATGTAAGTTCAGTGTGGAAGACAATACTTTTCATGCTTAGGCTGTAACTTTTCATTCTCACCCTGTCATTCAATCCTTGCACGCCTGCTCACTCTCTATCTCTAACTGTCAGTTGAGTCATCAGCTGTTCTTCAGCTGATTCACAACCAACCAATAGCACAGAGACATACCATTGACCTATCATCTTACCACTTTCTGTTTTAAATATATTTCTTCAGCCACGCGCACCGTCCACCTCCCCATCATTGCCTAGTCTCCTCAGATTCATCAACCTCATGCGCCTCATCAGCCATCAGCCTCAAAGTCATCAGCCATCACCACCTCCACCAGCCTCTGGACTCCATGAGGGGATTTATCTTGCTGCTGCCATCCACCTCCCCATCACTGCCTAGTCTTCTCGGATTCATCAGCCTCATTCACCTCTTCAGCCATCAGCCTTATAGTCATCAGCCATCACCACCTCCACCAGCGTTTGGACTCCATGGGGGGATTTATCTTGCTGCTGCTCAGATCTGAGCCGAGAGCCAGAAGGCAAAAACTGGAACTTGGAGAATGAGGGGTGGAAGCTGTCGGAAAGGATGGCTTTAGCCTTTCTTACTATCTGTTCACAAAACAGGACAGACAACGTACTCTGCTGAACTCCCAAGTTCTTGCTACTCATTGTCACAATGCTACTCTGTGCATTTTTGGACAAGATGTTGAGATTCCCCCCAAACCAGCAGAGAAGAGAAAAGGTCAAGGCAGTATGAATATATTTATTCTTCTTTTGCCATCTGCATGCAAAATGCTGCATGGTTTGTGTCCAAAACTGAATGGGATTTGCATAAAGTATGTGCATAAAGGGAAGACTCATGGGCACCCACTGAACTCATTTTTATTCAGATATCTTGAGGTGAGAGTATCATGGGACCCCTGTAAAAATGGCCATGCCAGTTTTTCTCCTTGCCAAAACGATCCTATCTTTGGAGCATTATTTACCCTTCCCAAAAAGTTAGCATGACATGGTTAGTCTTCTAGTTACATATGATCTATCCTACCTTCACTCTAGTTTCATAGCTCAGTCTGCTACAGCCTCTTACAAACAGTAATGTCAGCGGAAATTGCCAATAGTCCTGCGGGTCTCTTGGGGCTTTTAATAAGACTCCTCAATATAATCAGATATTTTTCAGTATAGTCACAAAGGATAGATTAGTCTATTGAGTTACAGTCTGTAATTTTCATCTTTTTGCAGAACAGGGATTCAAATATGTTAATAAATATAAAATGAATGGTATCGACCATTTAGTGCTTGTAATTCTCCATGGTATGTCTCCTTTAACACTGCCATAAAGATCTAGAATTTAACCATGACCTTAAGATAGCTTTCTAAAACTTATTGTATCATAGGATTAAATCTTATTCTGTCGGACAGATGCTGAGTAAAATACAGTAGCCAGGCAACCCCACCCCTTACTATGGATGACTTAAGTTCAGGGGTCAAATGAGCTTTGCCAGTTGGTCCCTGTCCGACACTGGGCAGTGGTCTGTCTCTCTGCTCAACAGAAACCACATTTTACCTGCTGGCTGTAGCCCTCAAATCTGTAACAAAGAGCGACCAGCAGGTAGGCAGCTGTGCCAAGAGTTTTCAAAACAGAGTCCAGGCACCTGCTAAAGTCCGGGAGGAAGATGGAGAATAATTCAGTGGCCTCACTAGATGTTACCAGCACCCTCCCAGAGCACTATTACATGGGCAGTTTTTGGCATCATCTGTGGGAAGTTCTTTGTGTTTGACAACACATGGCCAAGCCTTTTTGAAACAGGTAATATTGACTGTCGCTGAGGAAGATCTTGTAGAAAGAAAAGAGAAATAAACTATTTATTTTGCAGCCTGCAGTGTGCAGCCTTCCTCTGTGACCTTCAGTATTGAATGTTGCCTCAATGCATCTAACAAGTAACAAACTAATCTGTGGTGGGAGTTTATTCAGAAATGCCTCTCTTAGGAGTACCACAGCTGCACTCATAGGGACCCCTCTGACAGCTCTGTGATGTTTCCCAGCAGGCACAGGACACAATCAGGCCAACAGCAGCGTATTGGTCCAGCCCAGATATAGATCTGCCTGTCAGATAGGACTCAAATCATCTGCTCACACAAAAATACATATATTGTGTGACACGTGTATTCAGCAACTGAGTCACTGTGGTGTCTAGCATCTGGGGTGGGGGAGCCCTTCTGTGCAGAGATTGCATGTTCTCCCTGTGTTAGCGTGGGTTTTCTCCAGGTACTCCGGCTTCCTCCCACAATCCAAAGACATGCAGGTTAATTGGTGACTCTAAATTGTCCTTAGGTGTGAATGTGAGCATGAATGGTTGTCTGTCTCTATGTGTCAGCCCTGTGATAGTCTGGCGACCTGTCCAGGGTGTACCCTGCCTCTTGCCCAGTGACAACAGGGATAGGCTCCAGCCCCCTGGCGACCCCCAATAGGATAAGTGGTTACTGTAAATGAACGAATGTACCTAATAAACTGGCAACTGAGGACCAGTTTTCCCTCAGAGCTTGTTGTTTCTATTTGCTGAACCACCCTATTTTTAGTTACTGCCTCTGAGACAGCTAATTAGGTGTTTTTCTTTCTCTCGACTCTCCCAGAAAATAAGGGAAACATAAAAACAGCGGCGAAATGTGATAGCTAGTTCAGTAATTCATCATCTCTGTCTATGAGACACCCCAAAGGAGTAGTGCCAGGGGGCACGACAGTCTGCATATTTGTTTAAAAAGAAGTATAACTTGTGTCTTAAACATGGGTAGATGTCGACCACGCCTTTGCCTGACAGAGAAATGTAAAACTGTTGATAGAACTGGAACACTCTGTTCATATAAGCTCAGCTTCACATGCAGTACAGTTGGATACAGTATATCAGAAGAGACGGATTATTTCATCACAAGCTTCCTGTCACCTCACTCAAGAGAGCTATGGCAGGACCTGACATAAATAACCCCAGGCATGCGTGTAACAAGATGTGACACCTTGTATACACTATACCGAGGTGGCTGAAGTGTGTGTGTGTGTGTGTGTGAGTGACAGTGTGTGCACAATTGCAGGTTTGCAGGGAGTGGGTGAAAGAGACAATTATCTGCTTTGATAAGTTTTTTTTTAGTTTAAAATTGTACTCTGTTTTGTGCTAACTCATGCACTATTGCAAGACACTGCAGTGGTGTATGTGTGTGTGTGTGTGTGTGTGTGTGTGTGTGTGTGTGTGAGTGTGAGTGTGTGTGTGTGTGAGAGAGAGAGACAGAGAGAGGGGCTTCCAGAGACTCAGTCAGCCCCAGTAATGAGTTTATGATGTTATAGTTTTTAGGGCAGAGGTAACATAAAAAAGACAAACTGCAATTACTTTACTGGCCCTTGGGGGCCACGGAGGTGACCAGTGACGCATGTATTGATTTTGTGGCTATTCTGGCCCCTTTTTTGAGTAACAAATACAGAAAAACAGCCTGAGGAGTCTGAGTTGTCCGCAGTACTTTATTTTACAGAGCGGCTACTGTGTGATTAAAACCTGGCTGTTATATTTAAGCCATAACTCTGACTTTTCGCCAATCATGAATTCATTCATAAATAAGAGATGGTTGAAATGTCTTCTCAGTGTCTCAGTGAAGGCTCTGGCCAACAGAGGGAGATGTTGGTCTGCAGTTAAACCATCAAGACAAGTGAATCTGTTGCTTGATGTCTCTTGATGAGCCCACACAGGCACCGACCTTGACTTGACAGATAGATTCATTACAGCAGCATATTTATTCCAGTTCTTTCACTATGAATGAGAATGTTACTGATAGATGAACCTCTGAGCTATGAAGACACCGTTAAAGGAGCATAGATTCAGTAATTATCCATCTGTCACACTGCTGCTGCTCCAATGGGATATGTGCTGTTATAACAAAAAGGTCAAGAGGTTTTACAGCAGAGTCCAGATGATCTGTGGGAAACACGAAGAGCTCTCACATTCAAAATGTGCAGCAGAGGTGATTAATGAGGCAGCAAATCCTCAGACTTTAGTGTGGTAGTAACTACAGGAAAAGTACCAGGGATAAAAATGAAGAAGTAGTGCTTCCTAGATGTTTTAATTTAAAGTTTTACTGCATTTAATTAAGACTACTTTACAGAATTAAAGTGGATTTAAAACCATGTACCATTACTAGTATTTATCATTAACAGGAGCAGAACCTCATATTCAATATCTATGTAATGTGTGATCTGTTTTAAGAGTCATACAAAGACAAATTCATTAACAGAGACCACACCAAGGGTTTGAGTAGAAGGATGAGGGGGTGAGGGTCAAGGGATAAACTGATGAGGGCCAGAGGAATGTAGGGATGGAGGGGGGGATAAAGGTTGAGGAGACTGGGGATGAAACGATGAGGGTTAAGGGTTAAGGGATGAAGCATGGGGAAATGACGGCTAAGGGAGGATGGATGAAGGGTGAGGGTTGAGGGGTGGAGAGATGAGGGGATGGGGAGAGAGGGATGAATGGATGAGGGTGGAGGAATGAAGGGATGGGGATAAAGGTTGAGGAGATTTGGGATTAAGGGATCAGGGTATGGAGGGTGCGGGATGAAGGGATGCGGGTTGAGGGATGGGGGATGAAGGATGGTGGATGGATGGGTGAAATAATGAGGGGATGAAGGGTGAGGGATAGATTGATGAGGGTCAAGGGATGAAGGGTGTGGGGTGAGTGAATGAGGGTAAAGGCATGAAGGAATGAGGGGTGAGGGATAACTGGATGAGGTGATGAAGGGATAAAGAGTGAGAGTCAAGGGATGAAGGGTGAGGGAATAAGAGGATGATTAGTGAGAGATAAATGGATGAGGGTAGAGGGATGAAAGGATGAAGGGATGAGGGGTGAGTGGATGAGTTTTGAGGGATGAATGAATGAGGAGATGAGGGGTGAGGGATAAGTAGATGAGTGCTGATGGGATGACAGAATGAGGGGATGAAGGGTGAGGGATGAGTGTTGACGGATGAAAGGATGAGGGGGTGAAGGGTGAGGGATGAGTATTGGGGGATGAAAGGATGAGGGGATGAAGAGTGAGTGACAAATGGATGAGTGTTGTGGAATGAAAGGATGGGGGAATGAAGGGTGAGGGGTGAATGGATGAATGGATGAATTGATAAGGATCAAGGGACAAGGGGTGAGAGTCGAAGGATGAAGAAATGAGGGGATGAAGGGTGAGGGATGAGTGTTGAGGGATGAAAGGATGGGGATGAAGGGTGAGGGATGGATGGATGAGGGCGGAGGGATGAAGGAATGAGGAGTGATAGATAAATAAAAGGGTTGAGTGATGAAGGGATAGGGGGTTGAAGAGTGAAAGATAAGGGGATAAGGGTACAGGAATGAAAGGATGAGGTGATGAAGGGTGAGGGATAAGAGGTTGAGGGGTGAAGGATGAAGGATAAAGGATAAGTAGATGAGTGCTGAGGGGTGAAGGGATGGGGATGAAGAGTGAGAGATAAAGGGATGAGGGATGATGGATAAAAGGATGGAGATGAAGGGTGAGGGGTGGGTGGATGAGGGTCAAGGGATGACGGGATGAGGGGTGATAGGTGAATGAATGAGGGTTGAGTGATGACCGGTGATGGAAGAACTGATAAAAGATGAGGGATGAAGACATGAGGTGATGATGGCCGATATGGGTAGAGGGGTGAAGGAATGAGGGAAAAACGCAGGTCATGGACAGATAGATGGATGCATGTGATGAGTGTTGGCTGAAGGTGGGAACATGGGAGAAAACCAGGGAGTTGAGAGCGTGAGAAGGTAATGGATCAGGTGTAGGTGAGGGTGTGGTCTCTGCTCCCGAACTCTGTTATAAAACTACATCATGTAATAGACACACTGACTGTAGTAGTCAGACTCAGTGATCTTAACTCCACACAGACACACAGAGAGCATGTCAGATGAAACTTCAGCTCCACTGCTGCTACTACTGGAAAACATCAGCTCTAATCAAATCTCCCCTTTATTACACACATGCTTTACTATATATAAAAATATGACGTGTTGCTCCATCTAGTGGTTAAAGTGACCTCTTAGGAAAATGCATGTAATCGTGCACACGCAGATTACATCATTCATCAGAGTTTTGGCTCACAGTCCTGTCTTCTTACACCTGGAGAGAGATGGTGTCATGGAAACATCTGACCCTAAAGAGGTCCAGGTCTGCAAGAATGAGACTGGAACAGAAGAGGACAGGTGGAACTTAAGGGTTTTTTTGGATAAGAAACTATACAAACCATAACAACAACGTTCTTATAGATTTAAGAAGAAAAGCACTTGTAAACATTAAAGGAAATCTGGAGGAGAAGGTGTGGTTTGTAAATGAAAAGCAGTAGTGGACAGCGTGTACAAAACCTCAGCTCTGAATTATTCTGGCACTAATCAGTGGCTTACACCCTGTAGTCTTTTTTCCCTCCCTCCACCTGCTACCAGACCTTCAAATTTTGGGTGAAATCAGTGGTGTACCCTGAAGAGGGAGACATTTATCAGTTTTATTTTATTTGATCAACAAGTCAAAGACACCCTGCAGCAGCCTGCAGGCACGTTTATAGGCAGCTGGAGAATATAAATGCATAGAATAAATTAAAATTATGACAACCTATATAATAGGTTTCTAAATACTTGGAAAGTGTTCTGTTTAAAAGTTTAAATGCTTTTTTAAAGCCCACTCCACATTGTGTCATCTCTTTCAAATCAAACCCGTCTGGATGTGATTGTAATTATTCATTTTTTGAAAGTTTTTCTGCTGACACAAAGAAGCGCAGAGTTCACGGTGAAAAGCAGCAGTCCCATCTGAGGAGGAGGAGGAGGAGGGGAGGGCCGGTGTGTCCCAGCCCTCTGCATCCAGCTGGTGCGTCGCTCCTCAGCAGTAGCGCGCCACACTCACTATGGCTTTAGCCGCAAGCAGGACGCTCTTGGCGCTATTCGTCACGTTTTGCGCACCGGGATGCGGATGGACAGGTAAAAAAGATTTGTTTACGTTGTCCCTGAGCAGGTGCACGTTTTGCACTAGTGTGTTATGCACATTGGGAATTGTTTGGGCACTGTTGCTTTCTCCTCTGGTAGTTTAATGGCTCCGCTTTTATAGATGAGAGTGGGTGCAACGTGTGCTGTTGATCAGTTTATTGCTGCAATCTGCGCATTTTAGTGCGTTAACATCACTGTCTTGATGCTGTTATTTTTTTAAAAAGGTGTAAAACACTTGCATGCATATTCTTGCCTGTGCATTCCCCCAGTTGCTGCAAATTTTTCATGAAAAAATAGATTAATTGCATCCATGTACAAAGCATTACAATATTTAATTTGGAGTTTACAGTTTGATTTATCATCTGCATTTGTGAAAAAAAAAAAATTTAAGTGAGCCATTGCAGCAGACACAGACTGTGACAGTGTGCACTGTTGTTACTTTATGGGAGGAAAATATGATGCTGGCGTCCCAGCAGCAGTCATGGAACAAGTTCTGACCTCATACAGTAGGCACATGCTGGAGGAGCTGTGATAAAGTTGATAAATATCAGTCTGCATCGCTGTGTTTTCATGTGAGGGGTATCAGGCCAAATTGGTGACTAATCTGGCTGATGGTGGTGATAAATGACCGGCCTGTGAAGCTCAGGAGAAAAGAAGTGGTGGGGTTTCTGTCTGCACTCTTCCTCTGGACAGAGCTGCTTTGCTGCATGCTTTAATAGTCATATCCATCATCAGCTATGAGACAGGAATGGGTGAAATACTCCTCAAAATGCTTTTTTACCCACAAGGAAATTTATTTTTCATTTTTTAAATTTATTTGATTTTTAATCTACATCTGCACGGTGATCTGTCAAATAGATGAAGCAGTTTTTGACAGGCTCACAGACCGCAGCACACATGGTTTTTAAAGTTTCTCAAATGCTGTTTGTAAAATCAAATCTCAGGGAAAGGAGCCCAAATCCTCCAGACAGTCACAACATCTAAAATATCAAAAGTACCATAAAGCCTGATGAGTTTCAGAGGGCTGTGAGCCAAACCTTATGAGTTTAAAGGCACGTTACAGCCAGACTTTCTTTTCTCTCCTCTTTTTCTCCTACATACTCCACTTATACTGTCAGTCGATCTGCAACGTTTCTTTATGCCTCCTACTCAACTGCAAGCACTTAGTGCATGAGGTCATCGCTTTCTCTGAATATAGGGAGCTGCTATTTGTTGTGGTCTTTTCCCTCTCAGTCGTTCCCTTTTCCATCTTTTGGGAGGCATTTGCAGAGCACTTTTTCTGCGACACCCCGCTTCACATTCATCCACTTATATACATTCACACCTGGGAGCTACTTAATGCAACCACAGTTCACTGCTGCGGGCCGCTGAGCAGCAGCTTGGAGTTAAATGCCTTCCTCTCGGGCATTCTGACAGTAGTTGTTAAGGGAGAGGGGAGTGTTACTCATTAACTTTCTCCACTCGCATGTCATCAGCTTGTCAGTCTGAAATTCTTCTCAACAGCGGATGAAATTGGGCCCTTGGGAATATCTAGACACCTAGGCGGGAGCAGCGCAAATAGAGAGAACAGAAACATAGTGTATTTGGATGATAAATAATGTCAACTTCTTCCATGCAGCCACAGTCCATCAACTCCTGGAAAGTGTAGAGAGTAATCGGGGCAGAGAGTGAGGGGGAAAGAGGGAATCATGTCTTTGCAGGCCAGTGGAATTTAATTTCTCTGCCCCACTTAACCTGCTGGAATTTGGCAGGAGTGACAGATCTCACTGAAAACTCTCAGAATCAGGAATTTCATGACTTGAACTTTTTTGTAGTGGGAAAAAATGACAGAGGCAGACACAAGAAAATCTAATATTTCTAATATTTTCCACAATACTGGGTACAACTGATCACCTGACTTAGCTCGAACCAGCACCCCCACCCACCTGTGCCTGTCAGACCTGCCAGCAATGACATATCTAGTGTCATGATGTCATCTCTAGGCGTTGTTCCAGTTGTTTAAATAAGTACCACCTGGGCCACGAGCACACCTGTCATAGCAACGTGGATGTCAGCATACTAAGTGTGTTTCAGTGTGAGATGTCAGTCTCTATTAGCGACAGGATATTTGAATCATCTGAGAAGTCTGTTAGGTCGAGGTTTTGACCACCAACACTGAAATGCAAATACGTTTTCAGACTGTAATTGCATTGGCCAGCTTCTGTTGCTAAACGCCACATGCCATAAATGTCATATGTATGCATGTAACCCTCCCAAGCTAAACAATTACTCATGTCAGGGTGTTGCTTTGAATAAAATATGTTTGTAGTCACATTCCACTTTGAAATAGGCTTAACTCCTGACAATAAAATGACAGCATCCAGTCTGACATTGTGGTGATTGATGTGCCGGTGTGAGGAGGGCAGCAGCCATACATGGTCATGGTCTCTGTCTGCTGTGTCGGCTTTGAGTTGATTACTGGGGAGAGTGTGCTGAGGGTCAGATGTGAGAGGAGTTAAAAGCTGGAAGTACTAAGAATTCTGTCGCTCCTGGCAAGTTTGACACAAGCCTCCCCACCCAGGTAGATCTATGTTCTTAGGGGCAGCTCAAATGTGTTTTTAAATGTACTCAAATCCCATAGGTTTGCTTTGATGTGAACAGCAAAACACAAAACAGGAGCGGGTCTTTTAAAGGAGTAGTTCAACATTTTGGGAAATGTGCCTATGAGCTTTCTTGGCGAGAGCTAGATGAGAAAATCGATCTCACTCTCACATCTGTCAGGCTGTTCTCATTCAATGTTCATATTTATACCTTCAAAAAGTAATGAACTATTACTGGTATATAACTCACGTAATTGTGACCCAGGATGGTGTGATCATGTGATCTAAGTCATACAGACTATCCGCCATCATATTACAGCAGCAAAGGAGGAAGTCAGTTGACGTAGTATAAAGAGCAACAAAGCCCATGTCAGAGTGGTGGTAGATGGGTCAAACACACACAGGACTACAACCCAGGCATTAAGCTTCCTATCAACGAGGTTTCACTCTGAAGTCGTAGAAATCCAACGCTTGGGCACTGACTTGTGGCGTCAGAAACCAACGAAAAAAGGTGTTCTTAAATATCTGCATGATACGGGGCTGGTCGCTGTTATAGTTAAACGGCACTCTGAAGCGTCATGGGGAAACGCGGCGGGACAAGAACGAAAGTTAAGGTGTCAAAAGTCTGAGTAGGGCTTGTGGGAGGGGTGGTGTATGGTCCAATAACCACCAACCTTCACCCATGAGAGTGGTGTTCACATTCCGTAAGATTCTTAAGCCAAACCCTGTTCTTTTTTCCTAAACCCAACCACGTGTTAGTTGTTGGAGGAAAAAAACATCAGTTGGTGATGTTGTACTGACGTAGTGCGTTCATTTTGAAAGAGACAGTATCTAAACGTTAAATGAAAACCGAAGTGTATTTTGAAAGAAGACAATGCATGTAACAGGCAGAACTTGATACAGCGTCCCTGAACGCCAACAACCAACGCACCCAGCTTAGGCTTAGGCTTGGCTTAGCTTAGCATCAACACAATGGGGAAACCGCTGGCCTGCTCTTTCTAGAGATATAAAAAATGCAACAACAAGCGCCTTGAAAGCCGTTTACCTTGTCTTTATGCTATGCTAAGCTACCTGTCTCTTAGGTGTTTCATCTCTAATGGGCAGATGTGAAGGTGGTGTTGATCTTCTCTTTGAAGTCTCTGTGAAGAAGCAGATAAGAGTATTTCCCAAAATGTCGAACTACGTCTTTAAAAATAAGCAAACAAAAGGTTTTATCGCCCTGTCCAGCCATGCAGATAGTTAAATTGGCTTTTATTTGCCTTATTTCAGATATCTGTGTATGACTCTTTTGAATCCACCCCAGAATGATGAAGTTGAATGGAATTCTGTTTGTGGGGCACAAAACATAAAGAAAACACATTAATAAATAACATAACTCCCCAGAAACAATGACTCATGATAATCCCCAGAACATGCTGTCAACAAGTTTCATGGGACCATTTCTTAAGCAGAAAATGTTTCCACTGAAAACTGTCGACAGTGAGGTCTGTGAAATGTCCAGCGTGACATTGTTTCTGGAAAAGATACTTTGTTGTTGAATGTTTTCAGTGTTGTGAGTGCCACAAATTTAATTCTATTCAGAGACAGATATTTTTTTTAAAACATGTGGGCAAATAAAACCAAAACTATCTGCATGACTGACCAGTGTTAAGTGAGAATGATGTATTTATTTACTTGGTAAGTTGTGCGAACTAGCCCTTTAAATCAATTTCATGGGTTGATGATGGATTTTATGGCTCAATCTGACCAATCAGACTTTAGGTTTGTTTAATACATAAAATATGACTTCACATTCACATGTTTCCTTTAATTATTGCTAATGCTTCAGTCACATGGAATCAGGCAGATGGTAGCCAGCAGACGGACAACACCTACTGGACAGCACAGGAAAAACAAAGTCTGATGGAATGGCAGGACAGCAAAACGAAACACGCACAACAAAATGTCACAGTGGTGATGCTGTATACCGTTTACAAAGAATGGAATAAAATATGTTTTTAGAGTATGCATTGGGCTTTTTGGCCTTTATTTGATAAGACAGTGGTAGCGTGAAAGGAGATGCTATGCAGCAAAGGGCCACAGGTTTGAATCGAGCTTGGACGCTTGGCCTTTGTACATGGGGCACCCACTCCACCAGGTGAGCCACTTGCCACCCTGGAATAAAATATGTTAAATAAAACTATTTTGTGTATCTTATTTTTTGTTATTATTCTAGTAATGTCCTGATTGCCCATGTTTTCTTCTGGTGTGAGGAAGCTACGTAACATCTGGTTGTAAATTCCGTTGTGGAGGATGGCAAAAAGTTTGAATATTTTAAAACTAGGTGGCAGTGCCGTCTACCATTATCATTGCCGATACTCTGATGGCCTCACCTAATTTTACCATCCTGCTCTTGTCCACTAAAATAATATGGGT